GCTTTGATTCAAGTGAAGAAAAATCTGTTATTGAAAAAGCAGATGATGACAAAAAATTCGTTATTGAAAGTGAGCAATATTGTTCATTTGAAGATCCAATTGATGAAATTTTCAAATTAAATGTTGAGGAGGATGTGGAAGGTCATTGGTGAGGTAGCAAGTCTAGAGATTACCATTTTTACTGATAAAACAAAGTACTTTCATCTAAGTGATCTTTATGATTTTATTAGTGTCATCGTAGTAGGGCCCTCCATTAGCAATTTGAAATCAACTGATAATAATTGTTTTACTCCAATTTCTTCTTTCACGCTGTCATTATCAAGGTTACAATGAGAACTTGATTGTGAGTAATTGCCATATTGAGTATGAGATTGGGTGCGTGCTACCATGTAATGATCTTAATAGGCCTTTATCTTTGCTACCTTCAACAAAGAAATTGGCCATTTAGGTTTACAATAAGTGTAACGACCCGATTATGTAGGTCCGAAATGCTAACGGGTCCTTACCCTAACCTGAGGTCAACTAAAGGCAAAATGGTCATTATGCACCTTACTATGAGTTAGGAGACATAATAAGTCATACTAGTCATTTATAACCACATTGGATCATTAAAGAATGGTAACTCCGACTTTTGGTTCATGCCGTAACCCTAGGATTACGAGGGGTAAAATAGTTATTTAAAGTTAAAATTATAAAATGAGGTTGATGCCAATTGAAAGGTGGCTCAAAATGCATCTCAAGAATGGTTTAATTTGGGTTCAAAATAACCAAGTTATGATTGTTTGAAGTTTGGTCAATGCGAGCGATTTTGACAACCTCAAAATTTTCTAAGTCTGGGAAAATCTGATCGATCGGATTGAAATTTGATCGATCGGATTAAAATCCATCGATCGGACCAAGAGTAGATTTTTGAGGGATTTCAAAATTTTCTAAGTACTGGAAAATCCGATCAATCAGATTGAAATTCGATTAATCGGACTGAAACCAGAAAATGCCTTAATAACCCTTTTTTTTATTGTGCTCTCCTCTAAATCATAGATTGGTCATTTAGACCAAGTCAAACCTATCCCAAAACATACATAAAGGCATAAATACCTCACCAAAATAACTTCCATACATTATGATGGTTCAAAATACATCATCATGATTCAAAGTACATTTCAAAAGACTAGAAATCCAAACGATAGATTAGAAACAATGAGACCACCAAAGACGGGTAAATGGTCCCATAGTCATTTATATCCTCACAATACATGTGACTAATCACCAAGTGTACTTCTTGTCAAAATGGTACATCATTGTATTAAAAAATGCCATATACATCAAAATTTACACACTTCAAAATAGGCTAAGCATCTAAGCTACAAAAGGAATCCTCAAATGCTTCAAAGATGGGGTTGTGGATCGTCTATTACTTCTTTTCTATTTCCTAAAAATATTAGTAAAGGACTGAGCACAACAACTCAGTAGAGATTGCCTAAGTGGCATCTCCTCAAGCAAAGTAATCAACCACATGTTTTGCACAACAAAGAATGGAGATGAGATAATAGGATCACGCTAAGGGTGTACAACATCATTTAAATCATCAATTGGTCACCATCATCAACTAATGTATACAATGCATGGAATGCTTTATGCAACTCACATACCACACACACACCCTCGTTTGTTCACACACCTACAATGAAAATGTACTAACTAGCTGGACCTTGGGTACCTCCCTAGGTCCCTATGGAGAATTTTGTTATCATCCCTGACAGAAGGGTACCTCCCAACCATCATTTAGAGCCTAAGTCGCTAAAATTACTCACAGATCTCATGTGTCTCTATTAATTAGCTAGCATTACCGACGAAGGGGTACCCCCCCAAGGTTGATTTGAGAAAAACCTTTTCTCAAAAACTTTCAAATTCATTTTCTCAAAAACTACTCAAATTCACATTTCATCTCTTCCCATTTCCCACACACAAGTCTCTACACACCCACACCATAATATCCATGGAATGCCAATGATGTCATGAGAATGAAATGTGTAATACTTGAACAATTCTACTTCTCATGAAAATTTCACAACTCATAAAGAAAATTAAGTTTACAACAATCATAAATTTGTGGGTGTAACATCATATAGGAAATACTATAAGCAATTGGCATGTTAGCACAACAATATCATCACCAATTTGGCATCAATTAATCATGGGATTCAATATATAGAAAATTGTTATCATGTTGTCAACAATTTACATAGTCACACAAAATCTACCAATTAGGCAAGAACTCTAACATACACCAAATCCTAGATTTACTTTTCATAATTAGCGTCAAATTAGTATGTTATTCAAAGGGGAAAACATGACATTAACTACAAATCCTAAGGACTATAACTATTAGACAACTCTACCTCAAGGAAGACAAAAGCCCCAAAATAGAAATTCCTCAAAGACCTCCAAATGAAACTTTGCTCTGATCAAATCAATGCTCTCATCAAGCTCTCCAATTTTGTCTTCCATGGCAAAGATCAATTCCTAGTGCAAATGATTGAAATAAAAGGTTAAAGCATGTAAAAGTTGTGTTTGGAGAGAGAGAGAGAGAGTAAACCCATGCCAGGAATAAGAAGAAAATGGCCTAAAATCTAGTGGTGTGGTCCATAGTCTTGGTTTTGGTGAATCCTTGGATCCCACTTTGACCCACAAATGGCATAAAATGTCCCTCCATTCAAATACACACCATAACATGCAACAAATATATATTTAAACACATAAATACATATATTTACGTTGAATAATTCAATACAAATGCAAATGGACTCTAAAAGGTTACCTTAGCACAAAAAATTCGGACGTGGGGCTTACACAGATACTCTTGGACCGAAAATTCAAAAAATGGAAAAAAGACATGAGATGTATTTCTAAGAGTTCTAAACTCAAAGAAATACCCTAAATGAACTCTGAAACCCTCATGGCATACTAATCGGTGCAAAATAAAATAAAGAGTCAATTTCACTAACACCCCCTCAGATTTGGCCAAATATCACATGGATATATCTTTCAAAAATAACTATCACTCACCATATAAACGTTTGATCCGTTTTTTATTGACACCCCAAAAGTCAATTTTCAATGGTGTCAGAGCAATTTTTTTCATATAAAATGATATTGCTACCCTTCTGACTCTGTATTGACTTATAAAAAAGTTGTTGCATGTATAAAATGACCCAATTACCCCTAATTTAATATGTATGAATATATATATATATATATATATATATATATATATATATTCTTTTTCCTACTTATATGTATACACACACAATTACACAAACTTAAAAACAAGTAAATTTTTTTATATATATAAAGGTAGTGAATTTAAGTGTACCCCAAAAAAAAAAATTCTTCAAACTTATCACCATGTATATATATATAACTACATTATATATACAAGAAATTTTTTGCTCCAATGAAGAGGAATATTTGATGAATGGTTTGTTATTGCCGAAACTTGTGGCTTGATTGAATCCTTGGCATATTTATTTATTTAGATAGCTAGAATCATGATTTTCTTTTTGTATTTCAATATAGGAATTAATAAGAAAGTATCATTACTTTTAAGGAAAAATCTCTTCTGTTGGGCATAGGAATTTGCCAATCAATCACGAAAGGGAACTAAACAATTGGCAGTATTAGCGTTACCACAACCACAATAGATGCTGCCTGAACATCCATTGTATATATACTCCACAATATATATACATATAAACTTGAAGATTGTAACCATGGAGACTTCCTAATCGCAAAATTCTCACCCCACAAACAAAATCCCCAACTTGAATATATATATATATATATATATATATATATATATAATCACCTAATATATATATATATACACACACACACAGAGAGAGGGATATCACCTTATATATATATATAGAGAGAGAGAGGGATATATATATATATATATATATATATATATATAATTATACGTTTGGGCTTCACTACAGCAACCATCACAATCACAATTGCAATTTTTGAATTTTGTTAACTGTGTTGTAGCCGTATATGAGTATGTGAGAGCGAGTAATGAAAATCAAATTAGAACTACACCCACTTCTCCACTTCTAGGTCTTGATGAATGTTCATAAAGCAGAGCACAAGAACCGTGGTCAGAGACCTTGCAACATACCTCACTGCCAACTAAGTGTCACCACGCATTGACCCAAACCATCCACCATCTTCGCCAACAATGTATATATATATATATATATATATCACCTTAAATGTAGAGACCCGTACAATTTCATCGTCTCCCATATAAAACAACTCACCCAAAAATCCCCCACACCACCAGCCCCTCCGTCGCGATGTAGCCCCCTCCTTCGCAACATCATCATCATCATCATCATCTGTTATAATCAAACCCTTCAATTCACAATCTTTATTGAGAAGACGAGTGGTATTTAGCACCATAGAATCGAAATGGTTGTCTCCTCCCGTTGGACTCTTTCTGATATTTCTGCAAAGCAAACTCAGCGAAGCCCTCCAACAACACTAGCCTACTCCTTCGCAAGGAGACGGTAACGCGAGGGGAATCATGTAGGTTGTTCTCTGGTTTCTTCAGAGACATAACATCTAGAGAGAGGAAGGGCATAATGGTTTGTCAAAGTAATTAATTAGGGCATTTTCGTCCTTTTAGTTTTATGATATTTTGGAATAAAAAGTGTTAAAAAATTAGGGAGAAAATTGTCTTTTCGCACGTATTTAACAATGTCAAAAGTAAAATTGGATCTAAGTGATAATAACTTTCGAAAGGTGTTTCAATATGATATTTAGTTAAATCTGAGGGGATATTAGTGAAATTAACCCTAAAATAAAATAAATAGGAACCAAAAATGTCAAAAAATCCAAAACACTACAGTAGGATCGATAACTCGTGCAATTCTATGCCTATGGATTTGGAACATTTTTCAATTACGATTATTGGGGAAGCAAATAGAGAACAAACCATGGTATTTTCGAAGTCTGGATTTTTCGGTATTGTGGTTGAAGAAGCTTCTTATGAGGCATTAAGATCAAGTCAGTGGTATAAGATTTTGATTATATTAATATATATTTAGTTGCAGGAAAACTCGGGACGAGTTTTATTGAAGTAGGAGAGACTGATATAGGACAATTTTAGTAGGTTTTATATTATTTATTTTATTTTATTTTATTTTTATTGTTTTTAGGGAGTTTTATTTTAAGTTCTTAATTCCTTCTACCATTTAAGTTCTTAATTCCTTCTACCATTAATTTCTTTATATTTTAGTAAATTGGATTTGTTACTGATGATCAAAGCATTCCGAATCTGATAGCAATGACAATGATGAATATAGCAACAAGGGCAGTAACATCTTTTTCCAATTTTACTGAGAGAATCTTCAAATGTTGCTCAAGAAATGATCAACGAAGCAATTGCAAAGAAGCTCGACATAAAAAGCCTCATTTCTAATTCAAACGCATTGCGCATAGCAGATTTGGGATGTTCAGTTGGGCCAAATACCTTCATTGCCATGCAAAATGTACTTGAAGCCCTGGAAAAAAAGTGTCTTTCCCAAGGCAATGCTTCTAAAGCACCCGAATTCCAAGTGTTCTTCAACGATCATGCATCCAATGATTTCAATACACTTTTCGCATCCCTCCCTCATGATAGGCAATACTTTGCTGCTGGAGTGCCAGGTTCTTTCTATGGCCGCTTATTCCCGGAGTCCTCTCTCCATTTTGTGTATTCCTCCTCTGCACTCCACTGGCTCTCTAAGTCGCCTGAAGGGTTGCTCGACAAAAACTCACAAGCATGGAACAAGGGAAAAATTTACTGCACAAGTGCGTCTGAGGAAGTAGCAAATGCTTATGCAGCTCAATTTACAGAAGACATGAAGATCTTTCGGAATGCTAGAGCTAAAGAGATTGTGGCTGGAGGGATGATGGTAGTGCTTATGCCAGGTAGCTCGGATGATATCCATTATTCTCAGCGGTCAGTAGGTCTGCTGATTGATTTCTTTGGGTCTGTCCTCATGGATATGGTGAATGAGGTAAGTCAATAATCAGCTTATCAATTGAAGTTACAAAATTACACTAATTTTGCAATTTCACAAGTAAGTCCTACAAAATTTTTATTAGGACAAGGAAATTAAGTTTGAACTTGGACTATTTTTTTTTTAATCCGTATTGCCCTTTAGTAGTAAAGTACCAATCATTAATTTTTTTTCTTAAACACTTTAAATCGTGTAGACCATATCAAATAAAAAATAAGAAAAACAACACTTACATAGAGTTAGGAGCCTTAAATAACAAAGTTGTCTATTTTAAAAGTTCATTTTTCACTTTGGTTAGATTAAGTAAAATATTTACATATGCATCAATAATTATTGTTCAGAAATTTTTCTATATATATATATATATATAATGAATTTTCACTAAATTATTTGTATATTCCTAAATTAACATTTGCAGGTTTGAACCAATATAGATTAGGAAATATTATTAAAGTTAAGTGCACAATTTTTTTTACTATATATATATATATATATATATATATATATATATATATGTTATTTTATTTTTTATTTTTTTTTAAAGTCAACTCAAAAATCTTGTTTTTTCAAATTTCTTCAAATGAAAGAACTATTAATTTGGGAAGGATATTTTGGTATTTTGAAATAAGAATTGGAGAGTATTATGGACCTAAATCATACTTTTGAAGGCTTATATAATTATTTTGCTTAACTCAATCAAATTTAAAAGTTAACTTTTAAAATAGACTGATTTGTTATTTAGAACTTCTAAGTAGTTAAGTGTAATTTTTCCTTAAAAATATAATCCAAATTTGTCATCCATTTTTTCCTTAGGCAATCCTGTAGACCTTACCAAATTTAAAATATAATCCAATTGTATTCCCATTTACGAAAGTTGGTCAATATGTAAACTTAAATTCCAAAACTGCTCATAAAGAATTCCATGTTTGTTTCATTGTACTGTTACACAACAACTTAAATTCTACAACCCAGTTAGATCTGAACTTAATGCTTATGGAATGAATCTGCTCTTGGAATGGTTCGTATCGCACTTTGGTTGGGATGGGTTCATGATGAATGCAAACTAAAAGCCATTAAAACCTATATCAAAAACACAAAATTTTGAACAAAAAAGTGGATACAAATATTACATACTTAAATCGCTAACAAAATGGTGGCTGATGGTGAAAGAAGATGTGAGAAGAATATGTGAGAAGAATATGAAAGCGCGAAGAAGAGTACCAAAAGACGTGAAGATCAAAGGAAGAGGCAAAACAAAAAATTGTAAGAGTGATGGATGAAAAAAATAATAGAGGTATTATAATACATCTTGAGTTAATTACACTCATATTCCCTAATGTTTTTTTTATTGACAGCAAAATGAAAAATTAGACAATTTTTGAAGAATGACACCCCATATTTTACCTTTTAATATTTTATTTACTTTTAATCTCAAATATCAAAACCATTAAATAACAAAAATACCTTTATTTTTGTAATAAAACAATATTAACCCATCCCTATACTCTCTCTCTCTCTAACCTCTCAATCTCCTCCATCCCACCATCGCCACAACAACCTACCTCCGCGATCACCACCATAACCCACCTTCGTCCAACCCTTTTATATCTCTTCACTCACCACCGCTAAATAGAATATAATTAACTATTTATCTCTATTATATGTATGTATATATATATATATATATATATATATAATATACATAGTCACCATGGCCACTACCACCTCCTCCCACCGTGGCCACCTTCTGTCCACCGCAACCTCCACCTCTTCTCTCTCTCTCCACCGCAACTTCCACCCCAAATCGCCACAGCCCCCCCCCCCCCCCCCCCTACTCTCTCTCTTCACCGCAACCCCTACCCCAAATCGCAACCTCCACCCCAAATCGCCACAGCCCACCCCTTCTCTCTCTCTCTCCATAACAACCTCCAGCCTAAATCGCAGCCGTCGGATGCATCACCACTGCCTCTGTGCTCCTCCTCTTTAGTGTCACTGACCGATTGCTGATTTTGTCGTTAATTCCGGATTTTGGGTAGGTATTGGTGGCCCAAGTTGTGGCGATGGTGGTGGTGTTGGAGTAACCAAGCGGATCCTATAGAATTAAAGATTATAAATAATGTCGGCCTCCAACTTTCCCTTTCATGACCGACAACTGTTAGCTACTATTATTGGATAGGGTTTTGCAATTGGGTCTTCCGATTATTAATTTCTACGGCGACCCTGCTGCTACCGCCTTTGGCGTCTAGATGCATTACGTTGCCAGAGGTGAATGGGTGATTTTCTTCTGCATATTCTCTCTGTATCTATTATCTTAAGTATCTTTTACTTTGTGTATACTTATATATATAAGTATAACATTATGTAATTGTATATATAAGAGTAGAAATAGGGATTTTTTTTTCACATTTTATTTTATTATTTTATTTTTTTTGGTATACCCAAACATCACCCACCATCACCTCCTTCACTATGGATTTGAAGAGAATATGTTGTTGAAGGTCGGTGCGTACAATTTGAATAAATGGGTTATGAATTTTGATTGCAATATGAACAACACAAAGGAATCTATTTCTGTGGTTAAAGAAGCAGGGTTGTCTATAGACTTGGTCTCGAGCTTTAAATTGTTCTATCATTCATATATGCGCATACGCATGCTCTCTATCCCAAATCAACCCCAAAAAAATTAACTCAATTTCAGTTCCTACGAATCCACAACAACAAAGAACCAAGAACAAAATATATATATGTATAATACACATTTATACATTCACACACATATATAATATATATAGAGGGATAGTTTTGTCCATTAAATAATTTTAAAAAAAAAAGGTTAAAATGGTAATTTCATTATTCAAATAAGTCAATTAACAAGTTAAAGGGTACTAAGGTAAATTCACTTTGTGTTAGAGGTGGTGGGGTGTTATTGTTAATTTTTCCAAACCCGAAGGGGTGTCATTGTTAAAAAAATGGATCAACTTTCATTTGGCTGTCAATATGGCAAACCTCGGGAGGTGTGAGCATAATTATCCCTATAGTTTTTATAGAACTGTTCTGGAAATAAACATCAAAAGTCGGACTTCTTTGTGCTATAAATTTTTTTTAACACTTGCTTGTCTTTAGGGTTGTAGGTGCATAAAATATCTGGACGAACTCAAGAGCTCAAACCGAAAAATTCTATCCACGAACACTTAATAGAAACTCAGAGAATTTCATAAAATAACATTCAATACAGTATTAGGAATTGGTGTGAGACGAATTGGATGGTATTTAGATTGGTACCGAACCAAGTATTACTTAGGTTGCGTACATATCCCTTTTATTGGGACGTTCTGATATGGAGAATAGTATCTCTTTTATTTGGAGGCTTTGTTGTAACAAACTAAACTCGGGTCCAGATCGCTAACCGGATCTTGACCCCACCCGACCCGAGAACACCAAGGGTAAAATGGTCTATATGACCCATACCTGGCATTGGAAGTCTAAATAAAGTCTTAGAAGTCATTTCTAATCACTTTAGAATGCTTACGTATGAAGGAACCGACCTCAATCACCATTCGGGTCACTTAGGGTTGCAAAGGTAAATCAATTTTTTTGGACCATTCATTGCATTGGGACCTTATAACTGTCTTCTAGGCTATGTGTGGTCACTTAGAATCAATTACAATTGAAGAAAAACGAATTGGTTCAAGGTCACCCATTTTAGGGCTAAAAAGGGTAAGAATGTCATTTTTGGCCACTCCGCTCGTTTTTCGGCGGGGCTGTGGGAATCCCAACCTCTCAACTACCATGTAGGACCCATACGAGGAGTTTCAGAGCCATCGAAAACACCTCAAAAAAATAGTACCTAACCCCTAATTACGAGCGCTTGTCTAATGTTCTATGAGCGCTCGTAGGGCAGCCCCGCCTCTCCTTACAAGCGCAAGGCTTGCCAGATGAGCGCTCGTCCATTTACTTCGAGTGCTCGACCTGCCTTGAAAATAGGCTCCTTGCCCTTTCTTGTCCCGTCCTTGTTTTCGACTCCATTTCTGGACATTTCTTGGTCATTTTTGACCACCTTGCCCATGTCCCAACTCACTAGCATGCATTTGACAACATAATTCATTAATTTACATACTTATATAATCAAACATGCATAAGTATGGAAAATGAAAGCAAGGAATCCATTTAAAACCTTTGAGTTACATAAGTTACATTAAAACATAGTCTGATGGAATAAAGATACAAATTTAGACTCTTCCGGTCACAATTACAATGCTTTACGTACAAGGATTTACATCAACTTTACATTTGATACAAAAATAATAAAAGTAAGCTTTCGTCAACCCTAACTACGCATATGAGGGTTCGTTATCAACTACGTCACCGTTATGACCTGAATAATGTTAAAGAAATGGGTGAGGCTCAGTAGAAGATGCCTAAGGCACCAACTTTAGACTCCTTTGAGCACACATACGGGATAAAAGAAAGTCGAGATCATACTTGGAGATTTAATAACATCTAATTTACAAATCAATCTCAACAATGGTGTTTAGGCATTTCAATACAAGTATGCATAGAATGCAATGCAATGTCCCATATTTTCCCAACTTTACTCTCAACCGACTCCAAACTAGGCCTTTACCAGCCCCAATTCCCACCTACGCTAACCGACTTTACCGAGCTGTGATTGACACTATTCCTCGCCTCTTGGCCTTTTAGGGCCTAGTATCAAGTTTTTCACATCTTACACCGGACCGTGCCCCTTCTAGGTCGAGTTAGCACCGGGCTCGCGATACCCGGTCCATATGTAAAATTTCCTATTTTTCGCCCATCCTAAAATGGCTAACTTGTCAAATCTTATTCAATTTCCTCACCATTCTAATATGGCCTAATATCCCTCTCATTACATCTTTCCCGCCATGCCATGCATATGATTCAATTACATCCAATTAACTTTCAATTTCATATCTTTGATAACGATGGCATAAGCATAGCATTTTCTAGAATTCAAAAAT